GATGGATGGATGGATGGATGGATGGATGGATGGATGGATGGATGGATGGATGGATGGATGGATGGATGGATGGATGGAGAGAGAGAGAGAGGGAGAGAGAGAGAGAGAGAGAGAGAGAGAGAGAGAGAGAGAGAGAGAGAGAGAGAGAGAGAGAGAGAGAGAGAGAGAGAGAGAGAGAGAGAGAGATTTGTGACAGAATGGCTCTGTGGCAGAGTTGTTTTGAGTGCAGAGAAGACACTATATTCAAGTACTTTTACATGTGCAACACAGTGACATGCACTGACATGAATATGAACCGAAGGTCACCAGGAAAATGCTGGGCCTATTTTAGATTTGTTTGTGAAATGTCTCTGCACATAGATGGCTCTGCAAGTGCTTATCCACAAAGGAGTTAGTCAGTAGACCTTGTGACCTTACTTGATTTCACCGTTCCTTGAATTTACTAATGCTATTAATATCGATTCTGTTATTATTATTATAGACATTATGATTACTGTAATGTTATTGACATTAGTAACAGTAATATAAGATAGCAAAATATTTTTGAAAATCAAGAAAAAGGATAAAGAGACGAGACAGGGAGTAATCGTATTTAGATCATTGGTAACTTAGTACAAGTGGAGCCATCTATGTGTAAAAACAATTAATAAAGTATACTCACAGTGGGCATGACATGTACGTAAATGCCATGCCCATTGGTTTTGGGTTAATGCACATGGTCACACCTGGGATAGGCACCCACAAATAGGTCATTAAGGAATATATGCTACAAAAACTGATCATCCCAACAGATTTATTAATAATTTCTACAGTTGTTTAATCTTTCTGTTGATGGCTATGTTGGTATTTCACTCTTTTTTCTCTCATTTTTTTTATTCTCTCTCTCTTTCTCTCTTTTCTCCCTCTTTCCTTCACCTCTTTGCCAGTGCATCCTCATCATTTCTATCTTTCTTTCCCACTGTTTCAGTTTATAGTATAGTGTTGTATGATGCACTTATATATATACAGAATAATTTAGCGTACATTATGATGAACATTTGCACATGTCCATTCATTGCATCAGCTGCCCTCAGAGATCAGCTGCTGAGTGCTACAGACAAAGTTTGATACACTGAACTAACCTGCCTTGATCTTTGATTGCTTGCTCACATGATCTTCGAAAACTTTTCAGTTTCTGAAAGGGTACCATTATTACAAAATAACAGTTATGTTTGTGAATATATATCTAAGGTTTATCAAAAAAATTAAAGGGAATAGATATATGTGGTAAAACTGTGTATGGTCTTCTGTTGCTGACCAATCGTATGTGGTACTTTTATAGTGAAAAGTCACTGATGGCTATCAATTTAGGAGGGGTGTGTATTTTTGCACAGAAGAGATGTTTAATATTCTCTTTTAATGTTGCAGGAAGCCAAGTTGATGTATGGTATGATTTTCTCCATCAAATCGTTTGTGGCAAAGGTATGTTTTTTGTTTTTTTCTATGCTGAAAGTAGTATTAGGAGTATTTTGTAGTGTTAACTTCAGTTGGATTTTGATGTATATTAAAAAAAAAAAAAATGTATTGTTTAAGCTTTAATAGGATTTAATATTGTCATTGCAGGTGTTATTGAATGATTGTTTCTCAGCTTTTCATTACTTTGCATATTTTTTTCTTCGCCAGGTGTCACCTGTTGATCTCAAAGAAGGCTACCTCTCATATACAACCAATAAGTATCGACTCAACCTCTATGAGACGCCTTCCAGACTGAAATTCATCCTTAATACTGATATTCATGCACAGGGAATCAAGGAGCTTCTGCAACAGATATATACTCAGGTGGGCTTAGTTGTTCAGTGGATAGTTTTTGCCAGTATTATGATTTATTAATAACAGGAGGTAAAAGGTAAATTGTAGTTTTCGTTTCCGTTTAGATGTTGATTTTTTCATGGAATAATCATTTTTTAAAAAGTTTTTTTTCTTTACATATTTATTCTTTTAGAGGTGTACCAGAATTTTTAAACTGGAAAGCAATTCTTTTTAGGTGTATGTGGAGTATGTGGTATACAACCCACTCTGCAACCTCAAAAAACCCATTGAGAGTGAGCTGTTTGCTGCCAAGCTTGACGAGGTGGTGAAACAGAGTCCAGCATACGCGTCAAGACCAGCATGAGGAAAAGAGCCAAGATAAATTTTGCTTTGAAGAATGTAAATTGTAGGACTATATATTATTATTATAAATATTTGTTTTATCTTTTTTTTTCCAGAGAAGAATATTAAGAATAGATCTGCATAATGAATAATGTTTTCAGAAGTGTTGCACATCTGATTGATATTTAGGGTTTATATAGGAAAGATTCATTGGGTTGTTTTGATGTCTTTGAGAATTTAGTTTTGATTTACTCTTGACATTTACTGTGGTTTATTTGAAAGCTAGAATGGGATTTAAAAAGAGACTGAAGGCTGTTGTTACAAAGAGTTGATTCCATATTGTATTATTAATAAAGATGACCATTTTCTCTACTGGTATGTTATTTTATGAACTTACTAGACATTAGCCAAGAATCTCTTGTGATCTATGATATTCAAGCAGAGCCAGTGTTACCCACTTAGCCAAATAAATGATTGCCTAGGGGAAAAAAAATACGGGGGAAGCATACATATTCCACAGAACCTGAACTAAATTCTTATAATGGAGAGATAAAGATTTAAAAGGTGTTGCTTAGTATGCACTAATTCAGTTTTTGTGATCCAAATAACCTTGTGTAATTACCTCATCAGAGCATATTGAGAGGGAAGTTTGGGCGAGTGAATACCGTGACATCAGCTCAGATATTCATGAAATATCTACCTCTGGTGATAAAACTAGCAGGAGCCTGTACTAGACTGTTACAGGAAAAGTGGTGTTCCCAGTTGAAGCATGTAAACAGTCATTATGCACATGCTAACCCATTATTAATTAATATTCAGTGAAATATTAAGTGTTGCTTAACATAAACATTGTATATTTGATGTTTTGTTTCATCTCCGTAGCCAGTCATCGCTACTATATGCATTTTAGGTAGACAAAGAGATTCTCAAAATGTTCCTTCTTTGGCTTAATTCACTCTTCCTCTCTTATTATTATGATAATTCATGTCATGTTCCATCAAATTCCAAATTTCAGTTGTAATTTAGTCAAGCATATTTGCAAGGCCAGTTTTTAAGATAATCCACACAATAATTAACAATCTTTTCTTAATTTGTATGACTGTATTGCAAAGAGCTTTATCTACGAGTTGTTAATTACAGATCACCATGTGTTACCAGGAAAAAATTGTGACTTTGACTCACATAGATTTTAAATACTGAGTGAAGAGTGCCTAATGTTCTCATTTTCATGGTAGTATCTCTGGTTGGATCCCCCTGTTTCTTTAGCAATGAAGAGGCTCCTGAAATGGTTTATCCTAGAAGAGGTAAAGACAAAACATCTGTTATTTGCAGAGAAAACCCGAGTACATTACTTATCATAGCATCAAACAGCTGTTCTTACTGGATAAATCTTTTCAATCTATTATATTAGAGAGGCTCTCTTGATTTATCTATACTGGAGCTTTACAAAAAATTATGACTGTGTTTCAGATTCTCAATGATCATCTGAGCAGTTATTGTGGCTTGAGTTATTTTATGTGTCAATTATTGTACAAGTTGTACTATTTATACAAGTGCATTACATTTGATTCCAGCTCAAAGAATGCTGATTTACTGCACCAGCTTAAATGGTGCAGTAAATCAGCATTCTGTCTTTGAGCTGGCAGCAATGTAATGCATTTGTATAAATAATACAGAAATTTGGTTGGTGAATGATGAGAATGGTGAAGATATTTTGAAAGCTAGTAGCAGTCAGAGCTTGTAATTAACCCATTTGCCCCATATGGCAAGAATACATGTCTGTGCCCACTGTAAAGTAAGTTCATTTATTGTATTTACACATAGATGGCTCTACAAGTTCTTAATCACCAAATAGCCAGTTATCAGAGCTACCTATCTCACCCATTTACCCTTTTCCTTCACTTTAGGAAAGAGTCTTTTGTATCATTCCATTGTCTAAAATATTTTAATGACAATTTAATAATCATAACATCAATAACAATAATAACATTATCGATAGCAATTGTAATAATAAGAAAAACACATTTTCCCGCCTATTCAAGGAATGAGAAAATTAGGATCGGTAACTAGGGCCTACTGATAGACTCCTTGCCGGCTGAGCACATGTAGAGCCATCTGTATGTAACAAAATTCACCACAGGGGACAGAACATAAATCCGGGGCTATTGGGTTAACACAGCAGCTAATTTTCCAAATTTCAAATATATTTTAAAGAGAAACATAGAGCAAAACTGAAGAGATAGATCTAGTTCATTTTAGCATTCTAGTAAAAATAATTTATCATGTTTATTAGCTTGTTTTTTTCATGGTGTGGAAGATCTTTAACAGATTTAAGGAATTTGCTCTTTATATGTTATTTGTTCTCTTGCTCTCCACACTCTTACTGCAGTGATACATACTACCTTGGTATCACAGATAACAGAAAGAGATGAGTGACTAGTAGAGGATAATAGTATTACTTTTTAGTAGGGATTCCAGGAGCAATGTCTATTGCATATGAGTATCCTTTGGAGGATGCATATAAGAGAGTTCCTCTGGCAGTCCATGGAAACCTCAATATTTCAGATAGAACTCATTATGTAAGAATGACACTAGTTTTGCAGTTATTATAATCCAGTTCTTCATGCAAGTATCCATAGATATTTTAAGATATATTACTGCTGAATGATTGAACTGTTTTAAAGTGTTTGTTCATATTGGCACTAGAGAAAATTTACATACAAGATGCTGTAAATGATCCTTGTTGGTGATGCAACAGAAGGCTGAAAAAAACAAACAGTTCAACAGAAGATAGAGCTTCTGAACCAAGGCTTATTTTGCTGCTAAACATTTTCAGATCAGGAATATATTAGTTTTTTTTTTAATATGAT